AAATCAGATCTAATTTAATAAATGCTTATTAGCAACAGTAATTTCTGCCCTCTTCCTGCTTTGTGAAGATATATTTCAAATAAATTAAGACATACAAATATCCCCCTGCATATTAAACATTTGTGGTTACATACATATAGATATATATCTATATTTGTCAGTGATTACCATCAGAGCCACCACACACAGACTCAGATGGCAAACTGAGAAGGGATTGGACCAGATGACCTCCAAAAGTGCCTTCAACTTTAATTACTCTATGGCTTGAAGTTTCAAGCTTGGGTTCTGACCCTCTTAAGTAATCTCTTTTCTAGCAAGGAAATGTATGGATTTATGTAAAACAGTGTTGCAGACATCTTGCAGTGGCATTAATATCACAGCGGGAATATCTCAAGTGGTGAGATTTTGTATCAGTATCAGAAAGATGAACCTTCAAAAAATTAAAGTTTAATTTTCAAACAGGTAAATATGTGTTTCTCTTCATATCTATATTACTAGATTTGAAAATTTTTAGCAGTCAGAAAAACAAAAATAGTTTTCAATATGCATTTGGGTATAATCTAGGCTTTAACAAATTTGGGTTGGACATTAAAAGCACTAGAAAAATTTCAGCCATATCATCAGAAGGACTGATCTGAAAATCTTAAGGAGATGAAAAGGGCTTTGTCATTATAATTTTCATTGTATTAATGGCATTGCATTGCTAAAGCTCTGCTCATTTGGATAGAGAAGCACCTCTGATTTTTCTGGCTGGAATGCAGGTTTACACAGACAGACAGTTGCATACCCATGCTCACTTGTTATCCTTGTGGAATTCTCATAAAAGCTGGAATTCAGTAGCATTTTCCCCCAGATACATTGGCTGTGTTTTCCCTCCATCTCCCACTGATTTCATACAGTATTTGCTGGTTTTGGAGATGTGGACTGCCAAAACGGCTTGAGGTGAGAGATGAGCAAACAAACAGTTGTTTCTGTCATGCAAGTAAGTTCCAAGAAGGAATGGAAGTTTCAGTTACTGTGGACTGCTGTTCAGTTAGGTTGTTCTAGATCTGAGAGAACTTCTAGACAAACACACTTCTAATCTTTCACTGTCTAGTGGACCAGACTCTACTACTCAGCTGGTTTGAGCTTTGAAGCTTTTTCATTGCACTGATATTCAGTAACATATTGCCTTTGTGAAAGAATGCATTTGATTTATTTTTCTTTTCTATTCAGAAAAACATATTCTTTTGAGAGAATGGTTGTTTAATTGGTTATAAAACAGGAATAAGGTTTCTTGTATATAAAGTTATTTTTCTTCATTCACTTTGCTTAGTTTGAAAACATATCATCTAGTGCCTTCTGTTTGCAAAGACTTTATTTAGAAGTATTTCCTTTCCTCCAGGAGGGAGAATTTGGCTTCAATTATGTTTCTCTGAATTACAATTAGATCTTTGAACTCCAGACAAATGAATAAAAAAAAAAAATCCTCCCAATTTAATTAAATTGGCCTGTTTGTCAGTACCAGCAGAATACTATGGACCATATTGCCAATTAAAACTTTGCTTTTGATTCCTAATAAAGCACTACAAGTCCAGGCTTGTGCAGCCAGAATGAAGAGGCTGCATTGCCAATTCTTGACCTGGGAAGCTCCAGACCCCACGGCTGCTGCACGAGGGTGAGGCGGTGCCTGGAGGCTGCAGTCGGTGCCTGGTACCCAGCACACGTAACAAAGGTGTAGATCAGATTCATCAGCAGCTTCCCAGCTCAACTCACAGCAAGACCAGCTCTCTCTCCGTGCTGCACATTGCTAGTTGCTACAGCCCTATGCAATCTCAGGCTGCTTGAAAGTTCCCTGTGCCTTCAGCACCTCCTGGGAGGCAGTGTCCTACACTGGGGCAGAAAGAGCTACAGCCCCTCCCTGTCAGGCTGCACCCAGGGGAAGAAAGAACCCAAAACCTCTTTCCTAGTGAGACTGTATTTGTGCAGTTGGCTTACAGCTCCCAAACACCAGCACTGGAAAGCCTTTGGGCCACGCACTCTGGGTGGTACAAGCTGGATGCGGCAGGAGAGCACTGCAGGGAAGGGAGGGCATGACCTCAGCTGAGCGAAGATCGCTGTTAACAAAATGGTGCTCTCAGGCTCTGGGAGGAATGGTCCCTTCCCTACTGCACCCATGGCCATGGCCAGCTGGGCCTCTTTCAGTCTTGTGTGGCACGCAGAAGATCCAACTCCCATGAGAATCTGCTACTCTGTGCTCTTTCCCACTCCAGATTCTAGTTGCAGCTGGAAAATAATTTATTTTTCTGCTTTTCACCCTATCACTCTATATGCTGGCTTAAGATATTTGCAGTATCATTAAGGTATTCCATATCTAGCCAGCAGTGTTTAAACTTTGTCACAAAGATGGGCACTGGCATATTATGCAAAAAAAACATAGTTGCCTAGCACTGTTCAGCTGATTATCACTAACATTCTGAAATGAAAATATCTGATTACATCATATTCTAAAGCAGGTTCAATGTTCTCCTCTAGAACTGGAAGCACTGATTTTGGGAAAACAAAACATCCATTAAGACTAGTCTACACATTTCTGACTCTGAACTTGCTTTTTTTACTCTACTGAGCAGGTTAAATTAGATCTGCTGTCATAGTTCTGAAAAACCCCAACAACCAGACTTTTTATCCTCTGTGGGTTGTGGTTAGCAAAAGGGAAAAGGAAAACTCTTGGCAAAAATTTGTGCTCAACTTTCTAAATGCACAATAAGCTCAAGTTCATCCGAGTGGAGAAAAGCTGCATGAGAAGTTTGTCTGAATAAATATAATTATTGCTCTTGTCAGTAATGTGTTTCATCAAATCATTCTCTCCAACAGAAGTAAAGCAATAACAATGTGTACATAATAAGTGATATTTTGGTGGAGAGTTGCATAAGCCAAGTGACAGATTTGTTTCATAACAGGTCCCACCTGAGTCAATGAGAGAAAAAATAGCCATGACAAAGGTGATAAGCACTGCTGTTCCTCTGAACAGACAGAATGTGATCTCAACCATACTGAAAGGAAATGCTGATAAAGTGAACTGTAACCTCAACTGTTACTTGGCATCTTTACTGGGAGTCTAATTTTGAAAGTGGGAAATTCTAAAAATGTTTTTATAGTATTATTAAAATATAAAACGTGTGTGTGTTTTTTGAAGAAGAAGTTACCTTCAAATTTGTATTTTTCAAGGCTTTTCTTTTCTTCACTTTTGTTTCTTTAATAGCTCCACACAAAAGGGAGATGATGATTATGAAGATTACACTTCAAATAAGACTTGGGTTTTGACTCCCAAAGTCCATGAGAGTGATGTGACTCTTATTTTAAATGGTTTGCTGGAAGGATATGACAACAAATTGAGACCTGACATAGGAGGTACGTTTGTTTTAGTTTTACATCACTATTGATTAAGCAGTGAAGAGAAGGAATTTTCATGTCATATTATGCTACTCAGGAAGCAGAATCCATTCAAAGTAGTTACAAGACTAAAATGCAATGCAGAAAAACATCAGAGGCATGTAAATTAGTCATGATTTTGGAGGCTGGCATAAATTAAGATGGCTGAATCTATCCTAAGACGTCTAATAAGAGTGTTATAATTTGCTGAATCAGGCAGCTTGTGATGATTTACCTGCATAGGATGTTCAGAATTTAACTTCTGGGGAAAGAAAAAGCAAGTTTTTATCTTTTTTTTTTTTTGCACCTAAGAGATTCTCTCAGAGAATCACGAATAATACAATGGAAAGAAAGACCAAAAAGAGGCTAATACAGCCTAATCCTTGTATGATATGATGGACACAGAGCCTCCAACAGCAGCAGGCTTGCACACACTGATGCAGCCTGGGCAGGAGGTGACAGAGTGGGGCACAGAGGAGGAGATTCACAAAAGATAACTGCAGTCAAGCAAAGCCAATCTGCCCAGATGATTCCCACAGCCAGTGTAGGTAAACAGAGCCAAGCCTGCACTCAGAATGGAAGTCTTATTTGACCCAATCACCTTTTGGAGGGATCTTCCTCTCCACTGATTACTGAGGTAACTCGAAAGAAAAAATCTCAGTCAGTTTGAGAAGCCCCGTGAGAGCACAGAGCAGGCAGACTATACCTCTGCTGAGGAGGATACAGCAGTAATAAGATTATAGAAAAAGGCACAGATTTCATGGATGAGGTAGACAGAGGAAAGCAGAGAGCAGCAAGGTTAATGAAGGAAGCTAACAAGTTTATAGTGGCTTATAAACTAAGGATTTTTTCACAGGGAAGGATAACATGAGTCTTTAACCTTCAGTGTATGTATACAGTGTAATTTAGCAGAGGAATTTGTCTTCACTTAAACCAAGACTTTAGAAACAGAAAAGAAGTAAAGCATCCCTAAAATCACCTGGGATAAAAACAAACATGCTGTAGCCAAGGTATATAAGAAGAATAAAGCTGAAATGGAGTGATTTCAAAATAATTTAATGTAACAACTATTCTTAATTTCTGCCTTAGAGCCTTAAGTATTTTGGCTTTGGGCTCGCAAAATTGTTACTTATCTACAGCCACCTATGCAGGTCACAGCAGTCATGTGGCATTGCATTTGGCACTACAATGTAAAAACAGTGATGCAAGGCATCATAAGAGAAATAAGTTTGCTTTTGTTGATAGTGTTTTGTTTTGATGCTCTGCTGTGACCTGAGACAAAATGCAGATCCTCTCAGTCAGACGAGCCTCTCTAGGCTATGAACACTTGTTTCAGTATTTGTTCTCACAGCATATCAAAGGGAATTTGTTTTGATAGAATAAATGATACAAGAATTTGTGCAGTGTCTCCAACTAATTTTGAACTGAAGACATTGCTGAAAAATTGTATTTATTTTATATGCATATTTAAATGTGACACAACCACAGAGAGATGCCATAGTAACATGCTCGTGCTTGACTTTCACATAGTTGATTTTGACCTTCATTGGTTACTGATTCTTGTTGTTTCTCTTGCAGTTAAACCGACAATAATTCACACTGACATGTACGTAAATAGCATTGGCCCTGTGAATGCTATCAATATGGTAGGTAAAGGATTGCCCATTTGCCTTGTTACAAAGTCTCCATCATTTTGACATTACAAAGCTTCCATTAGTTCTTAATGTTGTGCCATACCTATATTACTTTTTAAATCTCATTTTAATTATGGATGGGAGGACTCTATGAGCTATAAATCTGTACGAGTTAGAAAACAGCTATATGCTGAAAATGCACAAATAATATTTTTAACATATCCTCACATTTTTGTGTGCTCCGCTCTCAAATGCTTTACAACAGTTTAACTCCAATAAAACCAATCTTCCAGACTGCTACAAAATTGGGAAAACCATTCATGATGATATTACCACTTTTTCCACCACAAGATAATAGGTAAAAGGCCTAGAACTTCTCCAGAGACTTCACCATTTCTGAGATCAACCAGGGAGCACAGGCAACTAGTCAGCTCAAGCTTTTCCTGTCCTAGATCCAAGGAAATAATAATTGCTCTCTGACCTGAGCAGGTGTGGGCTGAGATGTGGGGACACAGAATTAGAAAGGTGCATATAAGGCTCACGTGCACCTTAGTTTTACCCTCAATGGTAAAATAATAAATTGTTTTAAAACAGTAATCTTTGGTAAAACATGCCACAAAACTTCACCAAAAGAGATCAGTTTTATCAGTTCTAGTACCACCTTCTGTAGCTCCCAGTTTTTTCATGTGAAATTAAGGAAAGCATATCAGGAGTTTTGTGGAATGCTGAGTGCTGTGTTTTCATCAGTATTTCTGGTTAACACAACAGGAATATACAATTGATATATTTTTCGCCCAAACGTGGTATGACAGACGTCTGAAGTTCAACAGCACCATAAAAGTGCTCAGATTAAACAGCAACATGGTTGGGAAGATCTGGATACCAGACACATTTTTCCGAAATTCCAAGAAGGCTGATGCTCACTGGATAACAACTCCTAACAGGATGCTCAGGATCTGGAATGATGGCAGAGTCCTTTACACTTTGAGGTATTTACACCTAACTTTAATTTCATTTTTTCCAAGGAAAGCCAAAGAGAAAAATCCTGTGAATTTATGTAATTTGACATTTTTCCCTTAACCTGAAGGGAAAAAATATTGAGTTTTCCTATGTATTTACACAAACAACCCTGAAAAAGGGAAGAATTTAGAAGATATGAACTGTATGAAATTTATTTTATATTGGCACAATAAGAAGTTTTATTTCTTCTTACATATTGTACTGTCTTGCTCCACAATAGTCACCTTCCTATATTAACATTAACATAGGCATTTTTATAGCAATTAGTCTTCATTTTCAGGTATCTTTTATTGTTTACCCTTGGTTTTGTCAATTCCACTTTTTAATTGTTTTCAACTGATAAATGTGAAATATCCTTGAATTAAGTAGATGGTATAAAAGGAGCTACTACATATGTGAAAGGCCACTTATTCTGAATTGATTAATCTAATCAGATGAAACTCCCCCCTGAAAAAGCAATCTATTCCTCAAATATCTTAGGCAAATAAGATTATGCCATCCCAGCATTGAATATTTAACTCAAACCTAGGGATATGCCCCATTCCACCAAAATTTTCATGGATCTGAACTTGATGTGCTCAACCTGACCAGGTTCCCCAGTCATGTATATAGTTTTTCTTTTAAGACAAATTACCTCTGCAATAATTATGTGTATGCCATAGGTAACAACTCAAATATCATATTCCAAATGATCATAATATATGTCCTAAATGTGAAAATCCTGTGAGATTTTTTTTATATACTTTTTCTTGCATGTGATATAATATTTGGGTTTATGTAAAATACAGATAAACATAGCACTTTTCCAAGAGAATTTAAAACTTAAAATGAGATTATAGAATCAAAGATGATAGACATAAGATTATCTGAGCTTTAGACTACATTTTGTCAAAGTTTTATTTTGCTTTTACTCTATTGGTTGCCAAAAAAAATGTTTTGAAGAAAAGTACACTCATAATTTTAATGAATAGATGTGAAGCTTTGGTTAAGACAACCTTTTAATGTTTTATAATGTCTGAATTATAAAAAGGAGTTTTATTTTGTAGTTATTTTACATTTATTGCATATTGCATTTCCAGAAGAGATAATAGAATAATAAGAATTGAAATCCAATGCAAATCAAAGTTAGTCTGATAAAGATAAGCCCAGATCAACTTCTGTCCTCAAGAGGGATCCAGAAGGGCTGGTTGAGTTTTCTCAGTCACCTCCCCAGGATTAAGAACCACCCTGCCCAGCAGGAAATCAAGTATCTGTGGTACTGAAGATGATGAAAATTAGAAGAGGAAGGGAAACATGGAAATTAGATTTCTTCCTAAATCCCCAACACAGAAAAGTTGTCTTTGGACTCCCCATTAACTTGGTGGTCCCAGTACTCCCACAGGGTGAGACCTCAGGGTCATTTGCCCATAACACTTTCATTCAGGAACCTGGCGACAAATCAGGGCTCATCATTTAGACACCCCAGAATCAGCAAAGAACAGAAACCTACAGCTTTCCCAGAGACACCTCGTGAAACAAACATTTTACCCCACCCTTTCCTTTTTCCATCTCTCACCCCACCTCTTCCCTCTCTTCCAAAGTCCAAGCATCCTGCAGCTCATGGCTGGGCTAGGAGTGAATAAAAATGGTAGAGTTTTTAGGAGGCACACCAGAGGGTACATTTCACCTTACTTGGGATTTCTGAAAGTCATTGTCTTTACCTGAGCTTAGCATCAACACTACCTGAGTTAGCATGGAGACTCTCCTAATATTCAGTGGAGACAAACACCTTTTGGTACATTTTTCTTCTGATTAAATTTGAATGTCTTATTTTGGAGTGAGAGGAAGTGTATCCTCAGAGCGCCTCTGCACTAGCTCTGAAGGGAGTCTAGATGGCTGGCTTGGATGCAGATGTCTAAATTTGGACTCCTATCCATCATTTCTGAAATAGAATCTTTGTCACATAAAATACATTTTCCTAATGCTTTATGGCATGTTGTGACACAAAGATTTGTCACTGCTCATGAGATGACCTGTATATCTACCTACCTATGGATTTGTCAGTCATGAGTAATGCTGCCATTTCAGATGCACAGGAACAGAACTTTAATACCTTCTTGTATTACACAGTCCAGAAAGTAGAAGATCAGGGTCTATGGAACCAAAAAAGAAATATTGCTTATCAGTAACCATGATGTATTGCTATGCTTGGAATATTCCAGTAATTACATAGATAGCAATACTTTACTTTATACATATATATATATATATATCCTGATCTTTTTCTTCTCAGGCTGACAATTGATGCTGAGTGTCAGCTACAGTTACACAACTTCCCAATGGATGTCCATTCCTGCCCACTGGAATTTTCAAGCTGTAAGTAACATGCTTAAAAATATTCCTTTTTCTGACTCACACTAAACTTCTTATTATACATTTATTTTTACACACTTAGAGTCAGTGAAGGTTATGTTCTTAATTTGACATACCCCACTGATTTTTACTTTTATTTTGATTTTTTTTCGGTGCATGTATCATATCACCAAGGACTGCTATTAAAAATTATAAAATTTCTGGACTCTATGTGATTAATCTATCCTTATATCTGACCATAAAACAAGAAATTTTTACTTTCAGAATCAAGGTGTCCTGGCCTTCCACTTTCTCTCTGTGCATGGGTGTTTTAGTGAATTTCTGGTCCAGCTGCAGATGCATCTGGACGATGGGCAAAGTTGCATCCTATTAGGTCCAAAAAAGTGGAAAACCTATTTTTGAAAAATTTATCTCAAGTGCTATTATAATTTATAATTAATGAAATGTGACATTAAGTAAAAGGCACTAGTAAGTAACTTGAGAAAAACATATCTATAATTTACTTGCAATATGCTTCCCCAGTTTTTCCCAGAAATAGCCTAGTAGTATTTTTACTCCCCAAAGCACCCTACAGCCTAGCAGTGACTATGAACCAAAGCATTGTGTATTTTCCATTGCAATAAGATGGTTACCCCCGAGAAGAGATCATTTACCAGTGGAAGCGCAGCTCGGTGGAGGTGGGGGACACCCGCTCCTGGAGGCTTTACCAGTTCGCCTTCACAGGACTAAGAAACACAACTGAGGTGGTGAAGACTACTTCAGGTAAGACAACTGAAGGATTTGCCTCCAGGTTCAGTTAGGATTTTATTAACAGAATTAAACCAAGAAAGATATTTCTGGTTAGAACTTAGCATTTACACTGCACTGAACAGTTACAGGCTTTGGCATTTCTGAACTCCTTACAGGAAGAAAAACCAGTTGTTGTCTACTGTCCATTCTTGTTCTCCATAAAAAACCTCTGACTGTCAGGAGAAAGCCACTGCTACAAAGGGTGGATGGGTGGGGGAACTTGCACTGCTTCAGTGCAGAAAACAGCAGAACTGAGCCACTAAAGGATGATCTGACACTGCACTGAACATTTTACAATCCCCTTCCCACTGCCAGACACTGAAAGTAAGCCTGCACAGAAGCGTAACTCAAAGTACCAACTTCTTTACTACACAGGCTTCAAGTTTATTTTGTTCCCTAAAATAAGGCACATTCAACTTTCATTAAAGAGAACAGCCTTACAAATCAGAGTCTCAGATGTCCTTCCTTCATATTTCTATCTCCTTGGAAACAAGTACTAGAATTTAGAATGATAAATGAGGAAGTACTCAGTGTTTAATAAAAATACAATTTTAACCCTACTAACTAAACAGAAAAATATTTTTCTAGATATATGTATTGTTTTATTTCTCGGTGGAAAGAAAACCAGTGACTATGAGGAGAGATGTAAAGAGGAACTGCATATTAATATTCTTGTATATGCATGATAACTCTTGTCTTTAATTTCTTACTTTCAAAAAGAACAATGAAATGTAAGCAGGTTGGGGATTTTTTCCGATTGCTTCCAATTTTTACCTTACTTTATAGTTCTGGCAAGTATCTTAATTTAAATTCAGACATTTGTGTTTATCCTGACTTCAGAAACGCCCCCACCCATTTTATTTCTAAAAGGCCAGCATTACTGTTTTATTCAAAAAAGAAAGTGAGATAGAGCCTGCTGTACATTACACAGAACAAGCAAAGAGATGGAAAATTAATTCAAGTTCCAGGTCCTTAATCTCTGGACATTGAGCACCAATGATGTGTTCAGTCTCATGAGCAGGGAAAAGCCAGAATGCAGCGATGGATGCCTCATGGAGTCTGCTGCCACTGTAGCCAAGGAAGGTATTTAGTCAAGCATTGAAGAAAGCAGTTAACTTTTCTCATTTTCTGAGGAAAACAAACATAAAGGTGCAAAAGAGGACAGGAGAGCAGCGTATTTGTGAGCCACAGCTGTTAATAACCACCATTACACCAGGCTCTCAAAGCAAAAATATAAACAGCAATAAAAACATCTCCCCTCAGACAGCACAAATGGCAGCATTGCACCCAAGTGTGCTTCCAGTCTCATCCTGCCCACATTGAAAACTATCTATATTTCAGCCTTAATTTGAGTTTCTTCTATTTGCTATTTTCTTTAATTTTCTGCTTGAGCCATTCTCTAATCAACTCTTTATATTTTTGACCAGAGATAGAAAATAATAAAATCTTGACGTGCAACAAGCTTCCTATACCCTGATTGAGTGCACTGGTGACTCAAAAACATGCTCTAATATTCTGTTAATGTCAACGAGGTGCATACTGGGAAATAAACAGTAAAATATAAAAGAGCAAAAAAAATCCCTTTCTCATGCAAAGCAAACCTTTCCTTTTTCAGTGTATAGTCATTCAAGCTGTTAGTACTCACCTGGAGTGCTCCCATAATTTGGCATCCATAGTTTTTAATATGACGACGCACACCAGTCCATTTTGTTTGAATTAAAATAAAGTAATTAGCAGCTAGCATGCACTTTAAAGCAGCAAAAAGTCGTCACTCAATTCCTAAGTTAAAAAGCACATGAAAGCTACTCAGCCTGCTGCTGCTGCATTCACAACTGCTGTGTATAAAAATTTGGAAAAATATCCTGTGTATGTATTTCTTCTGCTGCAGTTACCCTGTGTTTTATTTTCATTGTTCCTCTTGGTTTATAACCACAGATATGCAAAATTAGATTTTATTTTGACCTAACTATGGTATCTAAATAATAGAAGGCAGGAAAAAAACCCAAGCCCATAGCAGGTGATGTGGATCTGGTCTATTTCCTACAAATAATTTTTTAAAGCCGGCAGAGCCTAACAGGTCTTCATGGCTTCCTTAAATGACTTATTAGCATGCTGGAAACTACACTAAGTCCAGTATTCCTCAGTCAGACCCACACTCTACCTATAATTACACCCTTAGCTTGAGTATATTTTCAAAAGTTTTATGAACAGTAAGGACAAAAAAAAAAGATTCCAAGTTTAATAGCAACCTAGGTGCAGCCAGAGTACCCTAGTTAAATGTTTGAGTACCCATAGAGCTAAAATAATCTTGACACTTTATGCAATTACTTTCAGTGCAGAATTTCAGTACAAACTAATGCCAATGCTTTGGTGGAGATAGAATCTGAGGTACAGTGGAGGAGGCAGTGGAAAAATTAATGAGATGCTGGAAAGAGGGCTACACAATACTCCCACAATCTCTTCCCCAAAATTAAATTGAGGTGAAAAAAACCCAGAGAAACCAGAATGAAAGAAGGGATGTTAGAAAATACAAAATTGAACAGTTAGAGAACAAAAGGATCTTGGGACTAGCATTAAGGCATTTGAAACTGGAGTAAACCTTCAGTGTCTCTATTTACACAATTTCAAAATAAATTCTTGTTTCCAGCTTTGTACCTCCCAGCAACCAACACCTTCTCGTCCTTGAGGGCAATGCTTGCTTTGTGTCTGGAGAGAGAATCAGGATGGCTGAGATTTGGCCATTACAAACTCCACTACTCTCTTTCTGTCATGTCCAAGCTGAACATTTGAGCTGTGGGCTGGGTTATGGGCAGAGAAGGACAGGGCTTGTTTGAGTGTAAGCTTCCTAAGACCTGATGACTCTTGCTGAAATTAATACATTTATCTGCTGCTCTTCCTTTGCACGCACTGCAGAAATACAAGATTAACTCAAAGGGCCAGATGTCAGAATTCTGTCCCTTAGTTAGCAAATCCCAGCAAATCCCAGCAACAGCTGAAAAAAAACAACTGGAATATTACAAACCATCCCTCTGTTTCTCTTATCTGAAGTAAGTAATCCTGAATTATCAGCTTGTTTCTCTCCAAACTGAACATTTACATGCAACTTTTATTTTCTTTGAAAGTCACTGACCAAGCAGCAAGAAATAACTTAGCAAATGGAATCCAATTTGAGTCCAGTAATAGTGGGGACTCTTAAAAAAAATTAACTATAAACCTTCTGCTTATGGACATTTCATTAAAATAACTGACTAGTCCATAAACATTATCTGCATTTTTTTTTTGCTTTTTCACTAAAATCTATTATGTGTAAACAGCATTGGTTTAGTTGAGATTATTTCCAATAGAGCACATGTTGAGACTTAATATCATTTGAGTTATATAAATTACTACAGCTGACTTCACACACTTAAAAACCTAGATGGGCTTAAAACATTTTGTACTATTGATGCATGTCAATAATCACTACTCAAAGAGTGCATATCTTGTGTGTCACCTTTTTGCTCACAGTACAAGGCCCCATCCAGTGAATGGCAATGAGATTCTCCAATAAAAAAAGGATGAACTGATGGAAAAGTCTTGAGAACAAAAAGTCACCGACTTGCAAAATTGGGATGCACAAGGCTAAAACAAACTAGTAAACAAACTAATGAGTAGTCCTTACAAAGAAAGCAGCAAGTGATACAGTAGTATTAGATTTGTTAAATATGATGCATACGTGGATTATATCGAGAAGGACATGTTGCACTTTGGGAACAGGAAATAGGACGTTTCAAAATTTGTAATTAATTACTCTAAGAGTGAAAGATTGTAGAAAGGAAATAATCAACTGCACAAATATAAAAACATCAGTAGTTTTAAAAAAAAAATTAAATTTGGGGGGCTGTAGTAGTCCACAAAGGACAGAGAATGTGATGTTATTGCAAAAACCTGCCCCTGGGATGTGCTACTCAGCGTGGTGTGTAAACTTGGGAGAAATATTCACTGCACTGTGAAAAATTTATGCCAAATGGTTGCTGCATTCTGCTTGATCAATAAAAAAATCACTTTTAAATGCAATCTTTTGAGAAAGACAGGGTAGTGCAGGGGAATAAAACAAGTAAGGAGCTTAGAAAACATGACCTATAGAAATCCTTGGAAGTATGGAACTAGTCTGGAATAAAAGATTATTGATGATCAAAGGAGTAAAACAACCATACTGTTTTTAAATCATAACAATGATCAATGCTGGTAGAGAGGTAAATAGTGGAAACCCTAAAATCAGAGAGTTTATTAAATCATACCACAGACCAAGAGGAAAGAAGCAGCTTAATTCTTGAAATTCTATCAATAGGTTTCCATAAATTTCATACAAGTCCTACATAAATTGCACTTCTACTCACTATTCCAGTTGTTTTGAACGTATAAAATATTGTACTATGCAAAACTGTTTGTAAATGTGTAATTATTCAGGACAGATGGAGTTTCTGGTATTCCCAGTTCATTTCTACAACTGGGTAGTTCCTTTTTTTAGATCAGATATTGTCTACTGCTTATTTACAGAGCCTGTCCTGAATTTTTAATTAGATATAAAGGCATTAGAAGACTAATAAATAGCAATTCAACAAGCTGCAGAGGAGCCACAAGACTGGTCAGGCAATATTTGTAAATATCTTTATTTTCTTCCTTTTATATGTTTTAGAGAGCTAATGGGAGCTATGCAATAGAGACAGTGCATTGCTCAGAACTGATAAATGGGTAATTGAATATTCCTCTTGCTATGCATCTGTTAAACCACATAAGTAAATCTGGGTCTGGTTTCTGTTTTATCTGGAAAATATAGTCAGAGCTATTATTTTGTGGAAGAGGATGTATTTTCAAGCTTTTATACTTTATTTCAATATTGTATCCTAATGAATTGAACTGTTGGCAGATATGCAGTCCCCAGAGGTTTCATAATGCTGAAAAAACCCCAGGAGTTGTCTCCTGTTTCTTTA